AATTCTACTTATCTGCCTGGAAGGAGAAATAGATATGGGTACAGGTTTTGAATAGACTGTATCTATATGAAAATTATGGCAAGCATAGGACATGGGATCTCTGTTAATTGTGCACAGTAGTAGAGTCCAACTGTACCAATTTCATTTGAATTGTCAAGCTATGCAAAAAGCTTGATTCACTTTTTCTCTAGATTTATTTTTATTTCACTACAAGTTAGTGGATGTGATTCTACACCCCTGTATATTACGTATACTCTGTACATACAACACACCCAAGAATAAGATACACACCTCATTTTTGAAAGGCAGAATGAAGGAAAAAAGATTTTTCCTTGTAGTAAGTAACTGTGTAGCAGCATCTAGGGAGCCAGACCTGGTCTTTGTTCTACTTCATGTGGATCATGTGCAGATTTTAGCTTTTTCCCAGCCAAAACTTAAGCAGCAGAAAATGTTGTTAGCATATTTTCTCGCTTACATTGTACGCTCCAATTTCCAGCACCTTGTTTTTGAGAGAACCATGTGTGTTATATGTGAGAAAATACAATACTTGATGAGCTGCAACTATATTAGGACAACACTGGATAGAACTCTACAAGCCTTTTTCACAAAGCAATTTGAACCTTAACCTTTATCTGAGGTGTGATTGTAAAAAACAGCTTGTTCTTTGTTATCATTTTTTATAAAGTAGATCAAGACTTGCCAGTCACATGACTTTAGTGTAGCAAGGGGAGCTAGGTGTAAAACTGTCTGCAGAGATTACACATGACTATAATGGAATAAATGTACTCTGCACTGAGGATGTAGGAGACAAGCTGAGGCTGACAGAGTCTTGCTATTGTCTTCAATAGGAGCAGTGCTTCTTCTTTTGTACCATGCTTACACCCATCCGGTCAGACATACATTTTTGTCTTCTCTTCCCTATTTAGATAGAATTTAATTTATATTTTAGATATATAATAAACCTGACTTCATTATTTCAAATATGGTTGACTGCAATCTCAGGGGATAGGGCTTGATGACTTTGTTCCCTCTAATTGTATTAATGTCCCTATGTTATAATATAATTGATGCATTTCATTTTGTTGAAAATCACTCCTAGTAACACTAGCAGACATGGAGTAGGGATGAGTGTGAACCAAACCTCAAATCTAAGTACCTCTATATTTTGCTGGGGGAAGAAATGAAATGTAGATTTAAAGCTGGATTCAAACATTATAGAAAAACCCTATTTCTGCTCAAGCATGGTATCTTGATCAAAACTGTCTGCAGCATTTGATTTTGCAAATGAATGTTCTATCCTACATTCTCTGAACAGCCAGCCTATTAAACATTGCAAAGGTAAAAGTTCACAGAAATTAACTAAATACTCCAAAAATGAATTTATTTTTATTAGCAGATTTGCACACATTTCTTGTACAGGTACAACTACATCAATTAATGATACAATTGTGTACTTGTGCAGTCAAGCGGCTTCCATATGTACTATGCTCATGATTATTTTCCAGGAGAAATGTCCCTTATACCTGTATAGGTTACCCTTATTCTGTTGTGGGAATGGCGGTGCCAATACAAAATAACTTCATATTGATCCGACTGAATCCGAGATAGGACCAGTTTAGACTGTACGTAAGCTTTGGCAGCTATGTTAGACAGAGGTGTGATGAGTTGTAATTTGTGACTGATGTAGCTGACATCACATAGGCCAGGTACAAACATACATTTACTGGTATAAGTAATCAGGTCTATACCTGTAACAGAACAGAAGTTTTGCACACAGAACCAGTCTATACCCAGAACAGAAGTTCAGCGCAAGTTTAAAAATGGAGGAACAAGGTGTAAGGTTTGTCCCCTTCCACATCTCCCTCCCCCCTCCCCGCCCACCGACCAAAGGACAAATATGTATTCTGTTTGCTACTGATCTAAACAATACCTCTTACAGAAAACTGCATCACTTAGCTCAATTCCGCCTTGGGCTTTTTGAGTTTCTGTACCTAGCCATACTGAAAATGGCAACAAACTTTCACTTTTGTAAGCTTCATCTGCTCAAGCATGCTTTGCTTAAAATAGCCTGGTATACCTATGTTATTAAAGCACTGAGAGGGAAGAGAAATGGAGTCCCCCTTTTAACTATGCAAATAGAGAAGTTCAGTTAAAACAAAACTTTTTTGTGTGGACTAACCTTAAATTTAACCAATGTGAAAGCTTTTAAGAATTGCTGTATCTTTTACAGCAAAGGCGGCAAAGTAGGGTTGCACCTTATAGACTAATTCAGGGAGGCATAAGCTTTATGAGCTACCTCTTATTTACAGCAAATTATGTCTGCAGTAGGTGGCAGCAGTAGATCACTGTTCACAGTTACAGACACAGTACTTCAGATCTGTACATGCTTGCATTTGGAGGATTGCTTTATCAGTGAGGCTTAAGGCATTCTGATTTTCAGGCAGTTGTAACATTGGAGCAAAAGGATGTAGATGCAAGGCTTTGTGAACTTTCATTGTGACACATTGTATCTCAAGGCCACTGCTCTTCAGAGTGTGTGCATATTTCCACAAGGATATTAAGGTAGGCTTTAACAGTGAATTTTGCAGCTGCTGAACTGGGGAAAGAGCTAACCTGACAAATTATCACTGGGCTTTATAGCATTGAAGGCATTTTTTATGTCTGATGCCCACTAACATGATGCATGAAGAACAGTGGCAGAGTTCTTGTCCCACTGGGAGCAGGGAACTAAGCTAGAACCCAAGATTCAATTTTTCATTTTAATTTTGAACTAATGTTTCATTCTGAAATTAACTTAAACACTTTTTTTTTTTTAAAGGAAGGAAAAACCTTAAAGTTTGAACATAATAAATCTTTTTATTAATTATGAAACATTTGTTCTACCCAAAACAATTTTTGTGGGGAAATTTGCCACAACAAGCCAAAATCAATATCAAATGGATTTTGGTTCGTTGACTGGTCAGCAAGTTTGACTAGCATACTAAAAATATCTATTTGCTTATTTCTCTTCCACTTGATTGTTCAAACAAGCAGTTTCCCATGCATATCTTCCTTGCAAATTCAAGGTGCTTTGTTTTTCCTTGGCAGTTTCCCAAGGGTTCAGAAAGCCAGTTCAGAGCAATGGTTTACCACGTCAGTCTGAAAGCAAGGCAGGGTGGCACCTTATAGAGTAACTGGTTCATAGAGACATAAGCTTTCATAGACATAGCTTTCATATGGTGCTGCACTTGGGCAGTAGTAACCAGCAGCACACTTATAAGATGGGAAACTCCCTTCTTGAGAGCATGGAGGGAGGCTGAAAGGGATCTTCGAGTCATTATTGACTCCAAGATGAACATGGGCCAACAATACGAGGTCACGGCTGGCAGGGCCAACCGGACCCTATCGTGCATCCACAGGTGCATCTCAAGTAGGGCCAAGGAGGTGATCCCCCTCTACATGACACTGGTTAGGCCACAGATGGAGTACTATGTCCAGTTCTGGGCACCCCACTTCAAGAGGGATGTGGAAAACATTGAGAGGGTGCAGAGGAGGGCCACCCGCATGATCCGGGGACAGCAGGGCAGACCCTACAATGAGAGGCTACAGGACCTGAACCTGTTCAGCCTTCACAAGAGAAGGCTGAGGGGGGACCTGGTGACCATCTGTAAACTCACTAGCGGGGAACAGAAGGGTTTGGGGGAGACCTTGTTTCCCCTAGCGCCCCCAGGGATAACAAGGAATAACAGCCACAAGTTGTTGGAGAGTAGGTTTAGATTAGACATCCGTAGGAACTACTTCACAGTTAGGGTGGCTAGGATCTGGAACCGACTTCCAAGGGAAGTGGTGCTGGCTCCTACCCTGGGGGTCTTTAAGAAGAGGCTTGATGCCTACCTGGCTGGGGTCATTTGAGCCCAGTTTCCTTCTGCCCAGGCAGGGGATCGGACTTCAAGATCTACAAGGTCCCTTCCAACCCTACTTCTATGATTCTATGACAGCCTACTGCGTCAGATGAAGATTCAGAGCTATGAATTATATTCTATGAAGATTCATAGCATACGATGAAGTAGGCTGTCACCTGTGAGAGCCTATGCTGCTCAAAAGCTAGTTCAAGATGTCTACCCAAAAATCTCTCATGTTGAATGGTGCATGGAAACAGAGATAAAAAACATTCTAAAAGACAACTAAAAATAAACAGATTTAGTTGGACAATGTAGGCCTTCCACTTTGTTTTAGGCAGGAAGAAAAAGGAGGATATTTTATACATAGATTATATTTTAGTATTTACACCTCATCTATCTCCTTTTACTAGCTCACTGTTTGTAATCCTTTTGAAAAGTTATATAAGTAGAACTCCTTGCTTATTGATGTCCAAGAAATATATATCTTCGCTCCAGTAAATAATTTTATAGGTCTACACAAGAATGTTGTTTGCCTGTAAACAATACATTGCCATATTATACATTCCTCAAAGCTCTGCAAAGCCTTTAGGAGCTGTTACCTCCAAGACTAGTTTATTTGTGGTCTCTCATGGTTCAGCATGCCCACGTGTCAGACAGATAATGAAATTATCCGCTGGTCTTGAATGAATAGCTGATTTTCCGAGGTCTTGATCTTTTGGCCATGATTGCATATTGCAATGCTACAAATCCTATCCTTGATTGAACCTTGACCTCTAATCCCCAAACCTAGCTTAATTTGGACCTCCAAACACCATCTCCTGGGTGCATCTACATGTGCAATTAATTTGACTGAAGAAACTCCAGCACAGTTTGTGCCAGAGTTTATTGCCCCCAGGCACTGTGTTGACATGTGTGCCTGGGATCGCAGCACGTTGAGCCAGGTCACAGCAGCCCTGGCTGACAGGGGGCCCAGGGAGTCAGCCTGCCAGTCTGGGGCTGCTCTGACCTGGCTCAACATGCTGCAGAAGGGCTAGCTGGGCTATGAGGGTACTTCAGTGTGGGGCTAGTCAACAGGCAGTCCCTGCACTGAAGCACCCTCATGCCCCAGCCAGCCCCATCAGCACCTACTTTTGCGCTGCAGAGCACTAAATAATACCCCATCGGATAGGTCTTGTGTTTACAAGTATTATCCTACAGTGGCATTTATTAGCTTACTGTGGCCTAATAGGGTCATACCTGTAGATGCTGAAACTTTACTGAAGAGCTCTAATCTCAAAATCAGCAGTAGTAAAATAAAAATTGAAGCAGTCTCTGGCATCTGTGATTTCTTGACCTCTTAGGAATTACATAATATGAGCAGTGGAAACTTTTGAGATCTTTCAAATTGCTGGATGCAGACCACTCTGTACAGCCTTGATCAGGTTCTTCCAGAGTACCTGATGAGATGCTTGTCCAAACTTGAAAAGATAGCCACTGCTGGGCAGAAAAGAGGATTGCTCTCCGACAGTATCCTTGGTCTAATCAAGAATCCAGATTCACCAAATTGTCTTTGTTACGAATGCTCTTGTGACAGTTGTCCTCCCAAGTAGCCAACACAAGTTTTAAGGGCATCTCCATTTCATTTGGATTGAAATATTTTTCTTTTGGGGAAAAAATCATGTTACATTACTCGTATTAATCATATAGTACTTGTATATTACATTTCATAATGCAGTGATGTTGCAAATGAGATCAAAATCTGAATGCTGTTACAGATGTACAAGTCATGTTAGACATGTAAGACTAGTAATGACTGCATATTTCTTCTGACCAGACCATACTCTTAGCTTCTTCGTCCACTCCTGGCCATTGCTTACTCAAATTTGTTTATTCTCTGAATCCTAGTGTGCTGTTTGGCATGAGTGACTGGTGCCTTCTGGATCTGGGTGGGGCACCCGCAGAAGCCACTGATGGTGGTGGCCCTGTCAGGGTGGGCACCAGCCCTGCCAACAGCATTGGTGTCACCCACTGGGGGGGCACATGCCCCCCATGTCAGCCAATGGGCGGGCATGTGCAACCCTGTGCACCCCCTACCAGTTGCCTATGCTGTTTGGTTTGCTCTTGAGGCAATGCAACTATGCCTTCAGAGCTTCTATCAAAGCTAGACTTCACCCCATAACAATGAATATTATATTATGTCACATGTTTTGTTCTTTAGTGGATAAAATAAATTACCCCGGATGGATCTGAACAGGTTTTTGACATTGATAGCAGCATTACTGTATTCACTCCTATTTCATTACAGTGGTACTATTTCATATACAGGGTCTACCAAGTACACTTTATTCAATCTTACTTTTCTTTCAGCATCATCAACATTTACCAATATTATCTGTTGTCACCACCAAGTTAGTAAATGCATGTATATTCAAAGACTTACCTGTCAGAGGTACAACACAGACGTCTCTAATGATCTGCATGTCAGGAATTTTGAGAACAGGGTCATCCTCTTTCTGTGTTAATTATATTAATACATAGCAACTATTTGTTTTAATCCATGGTTTACATAATGAATAAACAAGTTTGCAGAACTAGAAAAGTATGGGCCTTCCAAAAAGACTCCATTCTGGGTTTAAGTACAGCATGACTTTCTCTTTACAATCTGTAGGCGCTTGTACACATGACAAAAATTGCCTGTTTTTGTGGTTTAATTGTCACACTTTACATGGACAGAGTTTTTTGCGATTTAAATAAATTAGTTTGCAATGTAGTTACTTGTAACTCTGCAGCCATTAATCTGACAGCTAACCCCCCAGCTGTAGGAGAGGTGGACTGAAGGCAGAAGCTGCAAGGGGCCCAATCCTTTTTTTTTTTTGCAGAGCCTGCCCGCCTTTCCTATGGCTAGGGGGTGAGCTGACGGTGAGCTGAGTGGGCTCTGAGCTGCGGAGGGCCCTGGTCCTTCCCTCTGTTGCACTGGTGCCTCCCAGGGCTGCCCAGGAGGGCTGCTAGCAGGCCAGGGACTGCCCCAACTCAGAGACACCAGATCCAATGCTTCCCTGAGCCTGCCCAGGCTTCCAAAACATTGTGCATTGTCCCCGCTGCGTTCTCCAGCTGCTAGCACTCCCAGTTACCCTCTTTCCACCTTCCTACACTGCCCCAGGGGCAACCCAGCCCATTCCCACATGGTCCTAGGTGGCATAAAGGCTGCGGGGACAGTAAGCAGGGTGTTGCTCCCCAGGCAGGCTTGGGGAAAGGTTGGATCCAGTGAGAGCTGCCTCCAAGCTGGGACAGCATCTGGCCTGGCCTGCTAGCAGCCCACACAGCTGGCCTCATGGGCCGGCCCCATGGAGGTAAAGAAGAGTAGCTCAGGGACTGCTTAGATCACTGACAGCTCATGAAGGCAGGCTTGGCCTGATCCTTTTTTTTCACAGAGCCTGCCTGAGACTGGGGGGGTGAGCTGCCAGTGGGCCCTGAGCTGTGGGGGGCCCCAGTCCTTCCCTCCATGGCAGCGACACTCACCAGGGCCACCCAGGCAGGCTCCTAGTGCACTGGATGCTGCCCCAGCTCCGAGAGAGCACCCACAATATCCAATTCTTCCCCAGACCTGCCTGGGAAGCAGCACCCTATGCACTATCTCTGCCACCTTCCCGCCACCTGGGACCACCCGAGAATGGGCTGGCTTGCCCCTGGAGCAGCATGGAAAGGCAGCAGGAGGGTAGATGGGTGTGCTGGTGGCCAGAGAAGGCAGTGGGGACAGTGCACAGTGCTCTGGAAGCCCAGGTGAGCTCAGAGAAGCATTGGATCAGGTTCCTCCACACTGGGGCAGCCCATTAAGAGCCTGCCTGAGCAGCCCCGAGGGGTATTGCTGCTTCAGAGGGAAGAAACAGGGCCCCTGCAGCTCACATGCTTGCTTGGACCACAAGCACCTTAGCTTCTGGCCATGGGAGAGGTGGGCAGGCTCCACGAAAAACAAAGAAAAGGATCAGGCCCCTCACTGTAACAATGATGGAAGCCCCTAAATTGAAATGGTGGATTTTTAATCATCACAATTAGAAACCCACGGTTTAATTTTAGGGGACCAAACTCCCATCAAATGTACAAGTGCTCTGTCACAATGAACTATGTCACAGTAATAATCAGTTTAATTAAGGAAAACAGGAGGCCAGGGACTAATAAAAATGAAACAAATTATTTTAGTCCAGAAAATGTTTTGGAATAGTTATGTGTGGTGCACGTATGTGTGAGTGTGAACTAAAGAACAAAATAGCATCAGAAATCTCAACAATTCCATTCGAAAGGTATGGTGTTTTTATTTGTCCTTGCCTTTTCTAACATAAGCATATAGCATAAACATCAGTATATATTGTAATATGTCTATGTTACAGAAGGCAGGATCAAGGAAATACATACATATTGAAGATGCAGGGTTTTTTGACCCTGCCTTCTGTAATGTGTGTGTGTGTGTGTGTGTGTGTGTGTGTGTACACTCCAGAGGCAATACACACATACACATATATGCGCACACACACATATGCATGTACGTATGTGTATATATATGTGTATGTGCATATATATATATATATATATATATATATGTATGTATGTATGTATGTATATGTGTATGTGTATGTATGTATGAAAGCTTGCTAAGAATTTTTTTTCCAATTATTTAGTTGGTCTAATAAAACATATCAGATTTCCCAAAGAACCTTGTCTGTCTCTGTATGTATGTCTGCATTTATATACATATTGCCTCCTGACTACACACACACACACATATGTACACACATATACACACAATATACACACACACATATATACACACATGTGTGTGTGTATATTGGAATATAAAAAAGTATTTAATTTCAGAATGAAACATGGATTCAAAATGTGTCTTTTTTGATCTCCCAAGTATGTGCTTTTTCATCTACCCCCTTGGAGAAAATTGTGCTCCACGGATCCATAAATTGTTTTGTTTTGGAATATATACATATATGTATGTGTGTGCGTAGTCTACAGGCAATATGTAAATTCATGCACATGCATGCATACATACATACACACACACACTCTGTGCGTGTGTATGTGTGTGTGTGTGTGTGTGTGTGTGTATAGGAATATATATATATTCCTGTACATTTGTGTGTGTGTGTAGTCCAGAGGCAATACATACATGCATATATACATATAGTATGTGTATATATATGTATATATTACAAAACAAAACTGTTTATGGGTCCATGGACCACAGTTTTCTCCAAAAGGGTAGATGAAACAGTATACACATGAGAGATGAAAAAAGACACATGCATGTGCTAAGAGAACATACACAGTTGACTTAAACTACTGGAAAGTATTCAGATACTTTGATGGTAGGCATGGTACAAGAACTTGAACAGAACAGAACAGAACAGAACAGAATGTATGTGATTCCTAAGAGGTGGTTTAGAACAGGAGCTACCAGTATAAAGGAATGAAGAAACCTTCATACTAGCACCATTTTTCAAGAGTGCTTGAGGGGAGTGAGGGCACATACATATATCATATAACCTCCATCCACCACCACCACCAACCCCCCCCGCAGAAGGATTTGAGCATTATGGCCCCCTGAAGAACAAAACATTTGTGGATTTCCTCTGAAACAATGTATTCTGCACTGGGACCGCTGTCTAGGTGGCACAATGTAATCCACTTTTTTTTCTCTGACTGTTTACCTACAATGAATAAAAAACATGGAATATCTCATCCATGTGGCTCCTTCACTTAGTCACAGAAATATCCCAAAACAGCCCTTCACTGTATTTGTCCAGGTGACTAAATGCCCTTAGCTGTATGATACTGATCCCAAAGAACAATATGCATATCACCATACTGAGGGAAAGGATTGGTGTGTTCTGTACCTGCCAGTGAGCTTCATCAGAGTCTAGCCATGTTTTGATTTTGACTGGAGGGCTTGGAATAGCCACAAAGAGAACACTGAAGCATATATACCTACAAAAGAGTGATACAGACACAGGATTGTTATTGTTGTAAAATTCCTGCAAGCACAGATTGTTTAAGAGCAAATTGGTTGGAAGCCTATGTACAAGATAGTGGACAACATTTTAAATAAATGAACTATGTAAACCAATAGAGAAAGCATCAGTCTAAAGGTTGCATTTACTACTGGTCTGAGTATAGGGAAGAGTGTTAGGAGTTCATGTGTTTGAATCATGACTCTGCCCCATGGTTTTGGACAAGTGATGGAAGGCTTGCTTCTACAAGACGTCCTATACCTCTTCCATGTACTGAACACTCTATGGGGTTTTTTTATCCAGAATGTTAATTTATCTGTAGATGCAAGTTACTTTCAATTCAATGTCTAATTCATCTCTGGGGAAACCTTGCTTTCTGCAGTTTTACTCTCCCTCATAGCTATGGTTTCCTGATTCTTTATTACGAAAGGAAGATGGAATATGTGGCATTTGCTTTCATCTTAACCTGCAATCATATGCAATATTTTTTTAAATGGCAGCTGCCCATAAACAGTTGAATGATAAAAATAACCAAATACAAAAGTTTTGAGTAGGGAGTTCTCCAGGTAAAACACTGGACCATTAAAATACCAAAGTGTTTTGAGTTATGGGTCCATCCTGAGCATAATGTCTTCCAGTTCAGTAGAACCTTTTTCTCCTTTCATGTGAATGGAAAAACTGTGCAGCAAAGCAGAAGGGAAGCAATGTCTAATGGTATAATCATGTTGTAATCAATGACAGGTGTTAAGTTTCCATGTCAGTACAGCCCAGCTAATCCTTTAATCCCATGACTTTTGTAAAACATTGATTTTAATGTAAACTCACCAACACATTAAAACATGCTCAGAGCACCCAGGAATTATCCAATTAAAACAATCAATATAGCTCAGGGAACTAATTCTGAACACAGTAATGAATGCAGAACTCAAAAAAACCACAGGACAAAACCACTCTGGTAATAGAAAGCCAATAGTCTGAGGGGTGTTTGAGAGCTAGTAGAGGTTGAATTAAAGGTAAAAGGTAGGCAGGGAGATGAAGAAAACAGATGGAGTTCTTTGGGGAGGCTAGGACAGAGCAGCAACAGCATTTGGAGGCAATTTACCAATCAGTGGGAGTATCCCCATAAGTGTGCACGTCTGGTTTTTGGCACTGCAAACCCATCTGCGGCACTGCAAACTGCATGCACCACATGTGCATGCATTCGCTAAGCTGCTAATTTGCAGTGTGGCATTTTTTTTTTGACACTGGAAGGTCCCTTTGTAAAAATAAATAAATAAATAAATAAATCACTAAAAAAAGCAGCATGGCATAGATGGCTGCAGCATGCACCACCTGAAACCGGAGTCTGGCCAGCTGGTGACCAGGCTCCTCATTTGGGATCCTCACAAGGCCCCCAGAAACCCAGATAAGGCTTCTAGAGCCAGCTCAGGTGCTGGCACCAGCTTCTCCTACCCTGCACGGGGCAATTTGCTGCATACCAGAGCGCATGTGCAGGGGCATGCCCAGGGACAACTATCAATGGAACAAATGTGCCACTGCTGTTTGACCCAGGGGAAATGCATATGCCCGCTCATAAGGATGCGCTTCATGGTTGCATCTACATATGCAATTAGTGCATAGCAATAATTTCTGGTGCAGTTTGCATTGGAATTTATTTCAGGCACAGCTTTTACATGTTCACCTGGGACCGCAGCACATTGAGCCAGGGAAGAGCAGCCCTGGGCTGGCAGGAGGTCCAGGGGCTTGGCCTGCCAGTCTGGGGCCACTCTGCCTCAGCTCAACATGCTTTGGAGGGGCTGGGTGAGGCATGAGGGTGCTATAATGTGGGGCTAGCCACACCCCTGTGCCCCAGTCAGCCTCAGTCACCATCTACATGTGAGTTTCAGTGCATGTAACTACTTTGCTGTATAATAGTACTTGTCCCAGACAGTATTATTCTACAGCAGAGTTAATTAATTTACTGCACCCTAATGTGGGTGCACATGTAGATGGTGACACTCTACTGTGGAGCTACTCAGCTATTGGTATTTGCTATTAAGGTGATGCAATAAACTCAAGAGCAGTTTGTGTTGGAGTTAACTGCTCCGGGGCAAAGCATCTATATGTGCACCCAGGACTGCAGCAATTAGAAACAGAGCACAGCAGCCCCAGGCTGGCAGGAGGGCATAGGGGTTCAACCCTGGGCTATGAGTGGTGGTATCAGGCAGTGGAAGGGTTAGCAAGAGCCAGAGGTCTGGCCCCTGGCAGACCATAATACCAGCACACATGTGGATAGTAATGGTTTACTGTGGAGCTAGTTAGTCAACTCTACAGTAAAACACAGGTGTAGATCATCCAGTGTTTAGAATATCTACAAAGCAATTATAGTCTTAAATTTCCAGCTAGGTTTTAAGTATAATTCAACCACCAGTGAAATAGAAGAGCTGCTTTTGATTGATTCTTTATATATTACATTGTCTGGTGACGCACAGAAAGACAACATTGATTCTTTATATATTACATTGTCTGGTGACAAACAGAAAGACAACCCCCCCCTGCCCCGCCTCTCACCACCAAGAATGCGTATTACCTTCTACAGATAAAAATCAGAAATATTCCAAAGGAAATCACAGGAAGAACACAGGCCAAAACTGGTATGTGTAACAAGGTTTCCATTGTATTGTCTGTAAGAAAAAAAAAAGGAAAAAAAAAGGAAATGTTAATTTTAGTAGTGCAGAACGAATATGGTATTCTGAAAAGGTTTAACTTCAGAGGGCTTCATGACATAGTAAAGGACTCTTTTCTATGAATCAGTTAAGCACAAATATGGTACCCTTCTTGCATTGCTACAAATACAAAGATTACATTTCTGTGAACTTCAGTGAGAACGTGTGCGCCTCAGAACAGGGCTGTCCAATTAGCAGCCCATATGCAGCTCTCAAGGGAATAATCTGCAACCCTCAGATTCCCACTCTGGGTGACACTCTCCCCATTGCTCACCTGCTGCTGCTGTAGGACTCTCCTGTTCTCCTGCTTCCTCCAGCCTGTCCCTGCCCCTGGGGGCAGAACAGGGCAGGGCAGCATGGTCGGTGGGGCTAAGGACCCAAGGCCAAGGGGAGTTGGAGAGACTTGAGGAACCCACACAGAGTAGTGCAGTGTAGTGTAGAGCCACATGGCATCAAATGGCATGAGGCTCAGGAGGTACTCAGCACACACATGTGGCTGAGGGGCCTGTGACCTCTGGCCACTTAGATGTTGTACAGCCCTGTCTCAGAGGATAAGCTGTGGACTTTGAATCAGAAAACCTTGAGTGTATTCCCATCTTAGCCAGTTACTAACAAGTCAGTTCAACATTCCATGCCTTTTTTCTACACAAAACAGGTTTGTGCAGAAAGTTTCTACACTGAAAATTAGTTTATCTAAAACTGAAAACTGTCATGGGCAAAAGTCAGTTCCTATTAAATGAATTCACTTTTCCTGTTGGAAGTCTAACACTTTTAAGTATTTCAAACACTTTAATACAAATATTTCTATTTTGTTTTGACATATCCTTTCATTTTGTTTTATTTGAAACTAAAATTAAGTTAAGTTAAAACGCCCATTGGAAATATGTATACATTTATACGTAGATGTATACATTTATATATAACAGTTATGCATATTTATATAATAATTATATATATTTATATAATTCTTTTACATATATACTTCTATATATTACTTAAATATAATACACTTACTTTATTATATTTGGTCCTCCTTAGAAACAGAGGCAAAAATCAGATTGAAAAAGAATGTCAAGGAAAACAGACCATAACCTTTCTACAGGCATCAAGAGGACGATGTGGTAGGAAGAGTATATGGACCCTCAATTTACATTCCTATTCTAAGAGCTACTGCACTGAACTTCTCTAGGATCAGGAAGAAGGGAAAAAGGGAAAGTGTTTGGGTATTATTATAAAACTTGGGTGTACAATATACACATGTGAAGTGTAATCTACACCTGGTATAAATCAAGAACGCTTCAGTGAAGGCATGTAACTTTTGAGATCTGGCCCACTATACAGGAACTTTTCTGACAGAGAGGAAACTATGGGTGTGATTGTTAAGCCATTAGTTTCTCCTAAGCAGCAGCTGTAGAGGAAGTTGGGAAGGCAGGAGCATTGCAAGCACTTAAACTATAATAGCAGGGTTTGTTGAGCTAGAGTCTTGTGATGTGCTGACAGCCCCTAAATAGTTCCACTTCCTTTTACTAGTGATAAAGGATTAGCAGCAGGTGTTACCATGTTTGTAACTAAATTTCCATGCATTCCACTTTTCCTCATTGTAAGAAGGGCTTGTAATGCTGTTTTCCCATACCGATGTTACATAGACAGAGGATTCCTCATCACCATTATATTAGCAAAATAGCAGTGCCTGACCCTGTAGTTTTTGTACCTTCAGACAAATATGAACCTTTAGCTCAAATGCTTAAATACTGTTTTTTGTTCCTGCCATGCAGCCTTGCTGTATTCAGTTGTGAGACATTTATCTATTCTTATTTATTAAAGGTAATGTTTATACTATTTTGTGTATCGACATATTCACACAGAGAAACATACAAGATCAGGTCCAAATTGTTCTCTCAGATGCTTCCTCTTAGGCATTGTGACACCTAAAATGGGTATGGTCAGGCTTGTAGGATCCCCAGACAGTCAATCGAGAGAGTTAGGCATCTCCAAAATGTAATCCAGAAAATGTATCTGTTTAGCAGCATAAGACCTAGACACATAATAGGAAGGAGAAAGTACATGCTGAACCTCTGCCCCTATCCAGGGCTTAGCTACCTAACTAAGGTTGAACATTGGGCATCTCTATTATCTTAGAATCCAGTGTCCAGAAGGGAGAAGCCTAACTCACATCAACAGCATTGAATTCAAGTTGATTTCACTTGGTGCACATATACCATCCACCTTTTGAATAATGGCCCAGGTATTAGAGCACTTGCCCAAGAAATGAGAGACTCAGATTCTTGGCCTACCTCACCCCATAAGCAGCTGGTAGGTAGAAGGTTTCAGGGGGGCACGTGCCCCTCCAACAGGGCTGTCCCCACCACTGACGCCTCCAGCAGCTTCTGCATGTGCTCAGCCCCGTCCTTGCTGCCACTGTCACCGGCTTCTGTGGGAGCTCACCACTGTCCCCGCTGCTAACACCACTGGCAACTTCTGTGGGTGCTCGCCAGCTCTGTCCCCACTGTCGATGCCGCCCCTGGCTTCTGCAGGTGCCCCCCCAGACTCAAGAGGCACCAGTCACCCATGCCTCATTCTGAGAGGATTTATACTCACATCTCCCAACACCCTAACCAACAGATAATACAGCTGTCTGGGAAAGTGCAGCTTCCACTCCTCATGACAAATTTGGCTGGCTGTGAAGCAAAGAGCACAGGAGCCATCATCCAGAACAGTAAGCAAGAAAGATCCTGACTCTGTAGTCCATTGGTGAGCTTACTTCCCAGGTAACAAGGAGACCTGGATTTCTGGTTCCTGCTGCCAGGATTATTTCTGGTTTGTAAGCAATGACTGCATAATGTAAAATGCATAAACCATACTGAGAGAAATAACTGGAACCCAGGAGTCCCCCATGCCCTGGGGAGTCCCATCATAAAAGGAATGTAAATCTTTGGGCAGGGGCTTTCATTTTGTCCTATACTCTTAAGTACAAGTAGGTCCCAGTTCCTGACTGGGGATCCTAAGAATTACTAGAATACAAGAAAAGAATGATAATGACGTGGAGAACTTTTCTCTTCTGTATTCCTAACCTGTACCTGCAAAGAGTTTGACAGGGCCTGAGACATGGTTCCCTATTCCTGTTTATTACAGCATTGTCTTTTTGCAGCTAAAATTATTCCCTTTTTATATTACAAATTATAACTTACCATCATTGATGAAAACTGGTTCACTCCAGTCACTCCAAAGCTTGTTTGTTATACAAATCTTTTTCTTTGCTCTGACTTGAACAGAGTATGCTTTCATTGGATTATGAACTGGATACACATATTCTTCTTCCCTGGTTTCTGTGGGCTAGCAGAAGTTTTGTTAAATTTTATTTATCATTGCAGTTTAAAGAGCACAAATACAAATGTCTGCATTTCAATCCTAATTAAAATATGTCTTAAAATAGGGATACATACATTTGAAAACAATGTGTATATATGAAAACAGAGGTTTTGAAACCATGAAACTATTGACTCTAAGAATGTTGATACCAATCAATGTTGTACCAAGAATAATAACTCCTCTTCTATATTCAATTACACCAAGTATCAAGAATATAGTAAGAACGAGGCAATATGCTTGGGGCTTTCTTTTTGTTTGTTTTGCTTTGACTTTTTAAATAAAATATGACCACATTTCTTAAGGAAATAATCTACATTTTTAACATGACTATTCATTTCAGATGTTTCAGTTTCTGGTGATTAACATGGCAGCTCAAATGGATCTGAGAGAAAGTATCCAACACTCAGATAATGCATCTCAAACAGAACATGGAAAATTTAATCTCTTTTAAACATTTGTCACTTTTGACATTTCAGGTCATCTCTAAAAAATGCACAATAATGCTTTACAAGATATAGAAAAGACAAGAGGAGAGATGACTTATTGACAATGACAAACAATACCATAAGAAAAGACAAAAGAGTAGAGGCCAAATTCTATTTCCCTTTGCACACCTAAATGTCAGCTTTCCAGCAAGTGGCATTGTTGGCACTTAGCATACTTTATGATTCTATTACTGATGTAGTGAGGATGCTTAAGTATCTACATGGTTACTGATCATGCAAACTGGGACACACGCAGTGGGACACAAAACTATGGAGGGGAATATGTTGACTATATGCAAGTCACAAAATGCTAACCAACAAAAACTCATGACTAGCGCAGTTTAGAGGTAGGAGGACACTCCCATGTTTTAGCTCTAGAACTGAGGGGGTCAGGGCACTTGCTCAGGAAAGATACCAAGGTTCTAGGGCTTAATCACCCAAAGCGGATTTAGACCCTGCCTCTCTCTGACTTTTAATCATAGCATTCCAACCACCCAACCATAGATTAGACATTATACGATGTCTTCTACGGTACTCCTTTTAAACCTGATTCACTAGGCAGTAGGGGTGTATGAAACAGGCCGTATTGAATTCAGATTCAGATTCAGCCTGAATTGGGGACAGTAATTTGATTTGTTGATTTGGATCACTGTCCCAATTCGATTCGGCCAAATCCAAATCTGAAGATTCAATGATGATTCGGAAAATTGGCAATTTGGCCATAGACACAGCTTAAAATGTTTTTTCTACATGCCTCAAGGTACCAGGTATGGCTCATGAACACTGCAATGGTGGGGCAGATGGAGTGCCCCACAGGAGCACGGCAGGGGGGAGGACCCGCATGCTTGGCAGTGTACCCAGAAGTGGACCAAAAGTACTTCCAGTCCACTTCTGGGTCTGCTGCCAAGCACGTGTGGCGGCACCCAGCTCAGCGATCGGCCATGGGGAGACCCTGGATGCCCCCCAGACCCAGGAGGCACCAGTCACCGAGCCGGGGGAACACAGGGGGGCCCCCTGTATGCTTCCTGGCAAACCCAGAAGTGGACTGGAAGTGCTTCTGCTCCACTTCCAGGTCTGCTGTTGAGTGCACTGGGGACCCCCCACACACTTCTGAGGGATACTCCATCTGCCCCACCATCTTAGCATTCACAAGCCTCCTGGTACCTTGAAGTATGTAGAAAAAACGTTTAAAGCTGTGTCTATGTCTAAATCATCGAATCTGTCCGAATCTCTCCAAATCAATTTGGAGAGTTTTGATTCAATTTGGAGAGATTAAAGGGTCTCCTGATTCGATTTGGAGTCGGAGATTCAGCCATTGAATTGGCCGAATCTCCTCCGAATCGAATCAGTGATCAAAGCTTTGCACAGCCCTACTAGGCAGCTATGAGAAGGAAAAAGAGAGAGAAGAGAACAAATTAAAGGGTGTTTTGCTCAGTTTGACAGGTGCTCATCTGAAAAGGAGCAGGTCATGGGTTCTAACCCAATGGGGCAGAAATTATCCCTCTGCTCTCTGTTTCATCCAATGAATTTCAGATGCAAAGAGCAGCTTCAAAAAGAGTGCTGGATGTAGTGATAAGAGAATGCCTGATGTAAGTCAGAGAGAAAAAGTTAAAAGTGTCTCTGGTGGACAGACTTAGAACTCAAGTTTCCTACGGCCTGGGGAAGTGTCCCTAACCATTCAGCTATTAGGGCTATACCATAGAAGGGCTCCTCCTGTTTTTTTGTGGACTTATGCTCAACTACACATATATAGCTGCATACCTGTCTGGCCAGTGCATAGATTACATTGAGCATGATCAGGAGCCAGGCAGATGCCACACTTATACGTAAAATCATTGGAAATAGTATGAAGTGCCAAAAATAAAGCTTACATGGCTGAAAAGCTGCCACTTGGGCATGCAGAGTAAAATAGAGTTCTGTCTTAAATGTATGCATCTCAAAGACAGAGAGCTGTTCAGGTTGGCAGTCGTAAGCTGTCAATCATGATATGTGGATCTTCTTCGGCACAACCGAAGCTGTGTATGAACCAAGCTCTTGCAGACTCACCCTGCTTAGAGCGGAAAAAGGCGGTACACTCCTCAAAGATGAGTCCAACAAAAATTTCTGAAAGAAGCACTACCAAAAGCTCCTGAACTAAGAATTGATGGTGACTGATGAAACCATCAAATCCATCCCACAGCATCCAGTAAAGGAAGCACTTTCCAGTTCATCTACCACTGAGGAAGTCCACCAGGTGATAAGACAGTAGAACAAAAAAGCATCTAGCCCTGATGGCATACCAGCCAAGGTCTTTAAAGCTGGTGGGGAAACTATGACCAACAAACTCCACACACAGTTTCTCAAAATTTGGAACACTGAGGAAATTTCTGCTGACCTAAGGAGTGCCAATATTGTCACCATATTTAAAAAGGGACATAAGTCTGACTGTAGAAACTATTGAAGTATTGCCCTCCTCTGTATTGCTGGGAAGATCCTTGCTCAAATTCCACTGAAACAACTGCTCCCTCTTGCCAAGGAAATCCTTCTTGAGTCTCAGTGTGGCTTCAGACCACCAAGAGGAACCACAGATATGATCTCTGCAACCTGGAAGATACAGGAAAAATGCCAAGAACAACACCAACAACTGTACATGGCCTTTATTGATTTGATCAAAGCCTTGGACTCTGTTAACTGTAAGGCTCTACGAAACATTTTATTGAAGTTTGGTTGCTTAGGGAAATTTATTGCCATTCTAAGGCACATCATGACCAAATGACTGCTTTCATCCTATGCAGTGGCTCCACTACAGAGCCCTTTGTCATTTGAACTGGCATCAAGCAGGGATGAGTGATCACACCAATTCTGTTTTCCACCGTTTTTGTGGTCATCAAGATGCTCATCCATGACCATCTGCTACATGGCATCAGCATCAAGTACAGGATGGATGGGGATCTTTTCAATCTTTCCTGCTTCCATGCCAAAGCACTTACTTTAGCCTCAATTATAGAATAGTAAAATGGCAATGATTGTGTTGTCTTTTCACATATGGAGGAGGGCCTACAAGCAACCTGTAACTGCTTCTCTCAAGCATATCAGTGCCTGGGACTGACCCTTAACATTGGAAAAACAAAGTTGCTTCACTAGCTTGATCCAGGCCAATAAACCCCCCAGCAAAGATCCTCATTGACTGACAGGAGCTGAATAATGTCAAATACTTTGTATACCTTGGCAGCCATCTCTCAAAGTGCAACATGAATGAGGAGATCCAGTATAGGATCTGATGTGCTAGCTCTGCCTTTGGAAGACTGAATCATCCTGTGTTCAACAATCATGACATCAGGACTCAAACAAAGCCCCTGCTATATAAGACTGTGGTAATCCAAATTCTTCTCTACAGCTGTGCAGCTTGGGTGACAAGTTACTGTAAAACCTTTTTTTTAGTACTGAAACCTTTTTTTTCCTGCCCCACCCCTCCAATGTGGAGCCCCTCCATATGGCAAAAAGACCCTTTTGCAGTATTTCCCCCTTTTGGGGATGCTTTCTCTTTTCTACCTTTTCTTCTTTCTCCCTCTTCTTCTTTTATTATATTATTATTATTTTTTATAAAATATAAGGTGTACTTGTAATAAAAATGTAGTTTGTAGATGCTTTTATGGGTATAAAATAGTATTTTGCATCAGTATGCTCCCCCCCAACCTTGTATTTGGTTTATTTGTTGTATGTGCCATGGCATTTCGCCCTTTTATGTTTTATAGTCTATGCTTTTTAACTTTGTAACACATGTACTTTAAGTTTAAAAGTAAGTTGTACCATGTAACAATGGTGGGAATCAAACCACAGATTCTCTGTATGGAGTGGGTCAATGAATATTGATTGATTGCGTAACACAGTAGCTAGACAGGATAACAAACTAACAAGTAGCAATTAACACCTAGGAAACCACAGACTAAGGTGAGGAAAGGATCAATACAAAGCCAGGAACTCCCTGAAACTTCATTGTTAAAGGTACAGAAACCCCAGTTTGAACTAATCAATGCCAAAGACTGACTCTTGGGACTGGATACCTCCCAATCAACTGCCCCCAGAGCCCTATTCATCACACCAGGGAATCAATAAAACTTCATCAACAGACTCCCAAGACTGCACATATCTGTGGACATGACCCCTCAGGGCTGACAGCTGCCATCCAGCAACTACCAAGGGGAACTCCCATGAGGTCAACGACCCCTGGACTGGGTAAGCCTGAAAACTGGGGAGTCACCAAAGTCTGCCAGAGAGGGATAAAAGGCAGCAAAGAATGACCTCCAATGGCACCCTCTTTGACCTGACCAGCACCCTGCCTGCCCAGCCAGAAGGACCAGCCGATGACCCCCTTCTGAAGCAACATTATGCTGAAAGAAGCCTCGACTGGCCATCGACAGTGGACTCCAGTGCTTGGGGATAGGTATATCTTGACATCGGTGCTTAATGTTTATAGCTAGCTACTGTGAGTGTCTGTGT